CTTCCTCTTTTTTTTTTTTTTGAGTTGGTGTCTCACTCTGTCACCCAGGCTGGAGTGAGTGGCACACTCATGGCCACCCCAGCGTCAACCCGCTGGGCTCCGATAATCCTTCCACTTTAGACTTCCAAGTAGCCAGAACTACAGGCATGCGCTACCACGCCTGGCTAATTTTTGATTTATTGTAGAGATGAGGTCTTGCCAAGTTGCCCAGGCTGGTCTTGAACCCACAGACTCAGGCAATCTATTCGCCTCGGACTCCCAAAGTGCTGTGCACCCTTCCTCTATAAAGCATGATTCAAAGTCCCTCATTTTTCAAGAAGGCGTCTACTGTGATTTATTCTTCTCCCAAAAGACAGTAGCATCCATTCTGTACCATTTATTTGATAGTAAACAAATACTACTTGGTATTTGTAGTCATTAATCATGTGTAAGCTTCTCATTTCTGTAGTGAACAGTTATTGACTTTTGCTCTTTAGTATCAATTCATCTTTCTCTTGGTACTTGTTTTTTATTTATTTTTAGTTTTTATTTTTATTTTTTGGGTTGGAGTCTCACTCTGTCGCCCAGACTGGAGTGCAGTAGCCGCTCCCGGCCACCGCAGCCTCAACCTGCTGGGCTTCAGCTATCCTTCCGCCTCAGCCTTCCAAGTAGCTGGAACTACAGGCGCGCGCTACCACACCCGGCTAATTTTTTGATTTATTGTAGAGATGAGGTCTTGCCAAGTTGCCCAGGTGGGTCTCAAACCCGTGGGCTCAGGCAATCCACTCATCTCAGGTACTTGTTTTTAGAAAAGCACTTCACTCCCATCTCAGTTCATGTGTTAAAGTGGGGTTCCTCTTGCAGTTCAAGAGGTGGAGCATGTATCTCTGGCTTAAGCCAGTCAAAACATTCTATTCCTCTAGCCAGAGTGGTTGATTTAGAACTGACTAATGCCAGATTTTTTGCTTGGATAATTAGGAAGAGAATACTTTTCTTTATATTCTTACTGGACTCGAATGAACCTGTGGGAATGTAAATCTGGGAGAAGTTATATGACAATGGGGCTAAAACAGGGCCAGACTGAAAGCAAAAGAACAAGACACTAATGTCATTATTTGAATTCCCAAATCTATTTGTATCCTGAACTAACTCTAGACTTTTTCATTGCATGAACCAATTAATTCCTTTTTTGCCTAATCACTTTGGATTGGGTTTTCTATTACTTGATCCAAAATACTCCTAACTTATATTTGTTCATTTTTTTCTTTAATTCCTTTGCCTTCCTCAACAATTTGATCCTAAAGTCACTAGGTGAGGTAGAGCAAGGTAAGCATCTTCACCTGGTCAGAAAAAATCCAAGGTGGCACCAAGCAAGGTATCAGAGTCTAAATGGGTTAAGGAGAGCACCCATGAAGGAATGACTTGGCATGGGTCATCTGAACTTGAGCAGGGTGAGAAGGGTATCCATGTGGAAAGGCAACCTTCAGCCCATGTGGTTAAAGAGAGTGACCCCACAGAGAGGTAGGTTAGCTTGCAGTGTCAGATCCCAAGCAGGATGAAAAAGGCATCCACATGGAGTAGATCCCCAACATGGAGTTTAATCTTGAGCAAGGTGAGGAGGACATCCAAATTAAGAGCCAGCCTGGCCTGGAAGTCGGTACCTAAACAGGATGAGGAGAGTGTCTATGTGGAAGGTCAGTCTGGCATGGGAAACAGAGCCCAAGCAATCTTGAGGAGGACTTCCAGGTAGGGGGCTGGCTCACTATGAGAAATCAGAGCCTGAGTGAATTGAAGAGGGCATTCATGTGAAAATATGTCTTGGCATGGAGTGTCAGAGCCTAGGGAGGATATAAACAGCATCCACTTGGAAGGGTGGTCTGGTGTAGGATGTCAGAACCTAAGCAGAGTGAGGACAACCATGCGGGAAGGGCAGATGAGCACAGAGTATTGGAACTCAAGTGTAGTAAGAAGAAATCAGTGTGAGAGACAGGACAGCAGCAGTGATGAGGGATTCATTTCATATAAAACTAATGGATTGACTGGGGGATTGATCAAATAAATAAATATATTTAGGATAACACAAGCCAGGGAGAAGGGAGCTAAAAAATGGAAAGAGAAAAAGCTAGATAGAACTCTGCTGTGTTGGATTAGACTTGGAGGTATCATTGTGAACTTGTGGTTTTTAATATTAGAAGACAGAAAGATATGTTACATATGTAAGTAAATATGCGCATACATGCACATGCCTATACACATACACATGCATTCCCTACATCTTTCCACTGAGAAACCTGTGAGAAGAGACTCATGAGCACTTAACATATGTAGAACCTAGATGCTGGTTCCTAAATGCCATTCTCCACTAACAGAAACGAGGTTTCTTTGGGGTAAATGGAAGATTCCAGGATGAAAGTAGGAAAAGCATAAGATGAACCTGGATGATCTCATTGTGCCAGAAAGCAAGGACATGCTCAAAGAATGATGGATACTAAGAGGATGTAGGAAACTTGCAGTTTCTTATAAAGCTAAATATGTATCTATCATGTGACCCAGAAATTCCACTCCTATGTATTTATTAATAAGAAATGAAAACATATATCCATAAACAAATTTGTATGATATTGTTCATAGTGGCTTTACTCATAATAATCAAGAACTGAAAATAGCTAAAGTGTCTATAAATTGTAGAATGAATAAGCAAACTGTGGCATATTTAAACAATGGACTACCATTCAGCAATAAAAAGAGGCAAATTGCTTATACATGCAACAACACATAAGAATCTTAGCTTGTGGTGTCAGAGTGAAAGAAGTCTTACACAAAAGAGTACATACTGCATAATTCCATTTTATGAAGTTCTAGAAGAGATAAAACTAATCTATAATAATTTTGTTAAAAAACCACCCAGAAGAATGGTTGCCTTGGGGATTGGGTGGTAGAGACTGAATGAGAAAGGGAGATGAAAGTTTTATTTTTATTTATTTTTATTTTAGAGACAAGTTCTCACTCTGTCACCCAGACTGGAGTATAGTGGTGTGATCATAGCTCACTGCAGCCTCAAACTTCTGGGCTCAGGTGATCCTCCCACCTCAGCCTTCTGAGTAGCTGGGACTACAGGAGCTTGTCATTTTGCATTTTGTTCTATATCTTGACAGGGATATGAGGTCCATAGGTCATGCATTTGCCAAATCTCAACAAATGTACACTTAAGATTTGAGCATCTAATTTTATGGAAATTTTATCTCAAAAGAAAAAAACTGTTAACAAATATTAAATGTTGGATATATATGCTGAAGTATTTGGGGAGAAGTGTACTGACGTCTATTCCTTTAAAATACTTTTAAAATGATCGGACTTGGTGGCTCAGCCTGTAATCCCAGCATTTTGGGAGGCCAAGGTGAGTGGATTGCCTGAGCCTGCGGGTTTGAGACCAGCCCAGGCAACTTGGCAAAACCTTGTCTCTACAAAAAAAAAAAAAAAAATTAGCCAGCATGGTAGCACACGCCTGTAGTTCCGGCTACTTGGAAAGCTGAGGCAGAAGGATCGCTGGAGCCCAACAGGTTGACGCTATGGTGACTGTGAGTGTGCCACTGCACTCCAGCCTAGGTGAAGGAGTAAGACTATAACTCAAAATAAAATAAAATACAATACTTAAAAAAGAAGAGAGATAGATGGAAGGGTAGAGGGATGGAGAGAGGAATAGATAGATTAAAAGGTGTGATTAAATGCTAGTGGTAGAATTTGCATAGTGGGTATATAGATGGTCACTGTAAAATTCTTTCAGCTTTGCTTTATGTTTAAGATTTTTCAAAATAAAATGTTAGGAGTTGGGGGAAGGACATAGGAACCAAACTGAAAGGACTCCCATTGTCTAAATCTGGGACAATCTGAGCATCAAAGCTCAAATTGTAGATATCCAAAAATGATAGTACTGGATTATATACCTCTGAATAAGATAGAAAACCATGAATATGTATTGTTATAAATAAATAAATAAATGAAAAGTTCTACAAAGAAGAGAAGGACTATTTATATGGTTTCAAAGCACACCCACAAAATACTTATTAATAATAGAGGAGAGGCTTTGTCGAAGATGAGTTGGTTGAGAAATTGAGGTTTTGTTTCTGGAATCTCAATTCTTTTTTTTATATCAATATTTTTTATTTTGATATTGTGAGGTACAGTTAAGGGTGGAATCTCAATTCTATGCCATTGGTCTATATACCTGATACCTGTTCTTATACCATTACCAAGCTGTTTTGATTATTGTAGCTTTATAATAAAGTTTAAAATCTGGGAGTGTAAAACCTACTGCTTTGTTTTTTTTGCTGAGGATTGTTTTGGCTATTCTTGGT